GAGGCGGCGGCCGCGGGCACGGTGGGCACCGGCACAGCTAGAGGTTTGGCCGCGCCACCGCCGTCCGGGGGGTCCCGGCCCTTGCGGAGAAGGTTCTCGCGGTTGCGCTGCTGGACCAGGGGGTCGGGGCCCGTGGACGCCGGTTTGGGCGTCACCTTCTTGCTGCCTTTCTTCTTCTTGGCAGATGCGGCCACCAGGCGCTTCCAGGTGAGCGCCGAGATGAGCACGGACGGCCGCTTGAGCCGGCTCTCGCCTTTGCTGCCCTTGCCTACCGGCGGCGCCCCGTAGCCCCCCAGAGCCTCGTCCCCCGAGGGCGGCGCCTTCTTTTTCTCCTCCGGCAGCCCACCGGGCCTCCGGCCTTTGGCCGAGGAGGCAGGGGAAAGAGACAGCACCGTGCCCATCCTGCAGAGCGGGGCGGGCGCCCGGGCCCCGGCGGGAGCCGCGGACAGCGCCGCTACCGCCGCCGCTACTGCTGCAGCCCCGGGGGACCGGCGGTGGGGGGCCTAGCCCCGGCCCGGGCGCGGGGACCGGTTGGGGAAGGTGGCTGCTGGCTGCTCCGCGGCGGCTGAACGAAGTCTGAGCTGCGCCAGCTGCAGCGTCAGCCCCACCTCTTGGCCCCCTCGTTCGCCGCGCCGCGCCCCGGCTCACGCAGCCAATCCTCGCTCGAGCTGCGCTCCTGACCGGCAGCTGCTCTGACCAATAGAGCCTCTCATGCCAACCTTTTGCCCCGCCCCACCTCCCACCCGCTGTCTCTGATCCTTTCCCTTCGCCAAAATGAGGAAAGGAAGAGGAGGTGGCCTTCGTCCCAGGGCTCCCTCAGGGTCAGAGCTGGAGTGAGGGTGGTGGCTGCCCCCCCCATTTCTCTCTGCGTCTAGAGGCCTGGGTCCGCTTGTTTTGATGTGCTGGAGAACAGTAGCAGAAAAGCCATGGGAACAGCCCCCCTCGACTCTCGATATGTTTGTGGGGGCAGCAGCCTGGGCTGTGGGTGCCCTTATGGGGGTCCCTGTCCACCCTGTACTGGCTCCTTCAAGCTGCCAGTAGGGTCAGTTATCTCTTCGCTCCCTCCCCCACAACCCCTGGAGAGTTGGCAGGACCCCTTGCCTTCCTGCAGGTCAAAACCTACCTTGTTTTGGGAGGTGGGGTGGAGCTAGGTCCCTCAAGCGGCAGGCCATTTGCCAACCTGATTCTCTGCAGCTGAGTCTGAGGAAGGAGGCCCCGGGCCTCTTGTGCTCCAGGTGCCCACCAACATACCCTGATCGCTGATGGTATGTGGACTGGTAGATGGCTGGTGTCCCTGGGTGGGACCACAGATGGGGCTTCCGTACTCTAAGGTAGGCCTAAGAGGGTTGGCCCTACCTCCCGCCCAGCCCTGGGTCCAGGTTGAGGTGAGTTTTTACCTATTAAGTGCTTCCTGCTACCCAGGGCTCAGCTGCCCCCACTTCTAAGGGAAAGCATCTAGGCTGCAACCTATTTGTCTGTGGGTCTGTCTGTTCCCTCTGCAGCACCCATAAGTCCTTTGTCCTTGATTTGGAACCACCAAGCCCTTACCTGCAGGTCCTGAGCTGGGCTGTTCTTTCTACCTTCTGTCCACCCTTTTATGGGCCTGTTCTCTGGGGCCCCCAACACAGGAGTCTTCCAGCTTCTTCAGTGAGTTTTGGAGGTGGGTTCAGCCCCTGCCTGTGGCTTTAACAAAATCCTTAGAATTGCCCCGGGCATCACTCTGTGCTCCTCATAGATTACCAAAACAGCTCCAAGGAGCCACTGCCATCAGGCTTGGTGTGCACAAGCACGAGTCCCCAGATCTCCCAGGGCTGCAGATTTTACCACCAGAGGCTGCAGCTTTTCTTGGCTCCCCTACAGCCCCCAATCACCCACATCTCCTTGGGAGCCTTGTGGTTGACTGCCTTGGCTCTCACCTCTTTACACTCCCTCTCCATCCCCCCTCATCTCCACCCCCCCCCCCTTCACTATGTGCACTTTCTCAGCAGGGTCTCTCTTGGCCCTTGTCAAACCTTTGTTTTGGCAAAGCAGGAGCTGACCTGCTGGGCAGGCGCTCTCCTCCTCCCCTTAGTTGCAGAGAACCGTTCCCTCTTTTCAACTCCTGTAATTGGCACCACTTCCTCCTACAAGACTTCTGAGTCAGCCTTTATCTGCACCCAAAGAACAGTGGCTCACCGGTAGTTAAGGACAGGCCCCATAGAGACTGAGTTGCACTGGCAGAAACACTGGCACATGGAGCTGAATGGCACGTGGGTCTGCCCAGCTCTGCTCCCAGGAGACCTCACTGACGTAAGGCCTGTTGCTGGTGTCATTGGAACAAGATCTTCCATGCAGCACCCACAGATGCTACTGCTATAGTCCCCCTACTATGACCCCAGCTGTGACCTCCTTTTGTCTTTTTGGTCAGAATCAAGAATTTCCTTCTTTGCTTCAGGGTCCCCAAACCAGGTGCCTCAGAGGGTCTCACCCCCTTTTATTCCTCACCTTACTCTGCCTCAGAGCCTCTGTCTGTCTCTTTCACCATTCTCCTACCCTAGTTATCCTTCTAGAATTTCTGAACTCCTCCACTGGGCCCCGCTTCTCTCTCAGACTACACTCTGCCTTCTCTCCACCGCCCCTAAGAAGTCTTTTTGGATTAAATGACAGGGACCTTGTGCTGTTTCTGACATCAGTCTGTCTAACCTCTTCCCCAGCAGCAGCTGCTACAATACAATTTGGTTAAGATGAGAGCACCAGGTCCCCAGTTCAAGGTGTGCAAGATGGATATGGTGGAATTTTAGAAGGACAGACAATTAAAATAGACCCACCGTGGAGGGAAGTGCACAGGACTATGCTGATGGCACATGGGTGACTTGGTGATGGGAAACACACGGGGATTACAATTGAGATTTTAAAAAATGTACAAAATGATGTAAAAATAAACTATTATATTATAAAAAAATAGACCCACAAATATTCAGCAGTTTTGTTATTAAAAAGCTAGAGGTCTTAAAGGAAAGGGAAAGGATGCTATGTTTCTACAGAGTGAAGGCCAAGGAGGATAAATACAGTGAAAGCAGAAAGATTTCAAGAGAAGGTAGGCTTCCCAAGAGGGCAGTGAATTCCCTGTGTTTCTCTGACTGACTGATGTTTAGATCTATATTCTGTAACTTGTTTACCCGAATTAGTATCTGTCTATCACTTCTCATCTGTCCATTCCCAGGACCTACGTGTTCTTCTAGGATAGTGCTGACTCTGTTAGACTCTTCAAGGAGACACCTCCTCAGGCTAAACTCCTTGTCTAGAACTTCGTGACAGAACAGTGTGCTGTTCAGCTAAGTGGTCACTCCTAAAGGTTCTTTAAGTCAAGAACTTCTAGAAGTTAGTTTAAGAATTTGCTCTAAAACTAGACCAAAAAGGTTTTAGCCTGGTAGGAACACAGCTTTATTGTTGAGGACCACTGTTGTCACCTTGGCAATGGGGCTTCATGACCCTCCTGGGAAGATGAGTCCCATCTTTAAGGGGAAAGCTCCAGGCGATGCTACGTAGATACTTCTGCCCTTGGGCTGTTTTTACTCCTTCTTTGAGAAGTCATAGTCTGGAAGGCATGAGTTTTAGTTCAAGGCTTAAAACTGACTCAGGGGCGTCCCTGGTGGCGCAACGGGTTAAAGCACAGCACTACCAAGTAATCCGCAGCTGCTGCAGCATAAGTTCAATTCCCAGCCAGGGAGCTGACCCACAGGGCACAGCAGATCTCTCCTGTCTTCCCGCTGCCCCCTCAGCAGTGGACTTTGTCCGTCTGCCAGTTTTGCTCCCCACTCTGTTTCTAGTGAATCCTCTCACTGCCCCTGCAGCTCTGGCCTGTACCCCAGTTCTGTATGCATAAATAAATAAATCTTTAAAAAAAAACTGACTTAGGGCCCTCCCTGGTGGCGCAGCGGGTTAAAGCACAGTACTGAGAATCTGAAGCCACTTCCGCATGAGTTCGATTCCCGCCTGCCGCCTG